TTACACTGCTGGTGTCCAGCCAGTTTGGAACCATCAGGTTTGTCATGGCTGGATGGTAAGAGGCCCGATGGAGTTACCCTCATCCCATGGTCCCGTGGAAGACAATTGGTGTGGGATGCAATGGTCCCTGACTCTTTGGCCGCCTCATACAGTCAGACTGTGACATCTGGTTCTGGTGCGGTGGCAGAGTTGAAGAAGGTGTCTAAGTATTCCACTCTCCCTCCGTCTGTCTGTTTTGTTCCCATGGCCATTGAGTCCCTTGGGACCGTTGGTCCTCGCACTGGTGCCTTTCTGAGGGACCTGGGAAGAAGGATCTCCTCCTACACTGGTGACAAGCGTGCAACTGAGTACCTTTTCCAACGTCTAGCAGTTGCTGTTCAGAGGGGCAATTCACTGATGCTTCAGGCTTGCCTTCCGTCACCTCCATTATCATCTAACCCCCACACTTAACTCTTCTCCCCCTCTCCTCTTCCCTTGTCTTTTCTTTTCTTTCCCCTTTCCTTTCTTTTATTTCCTTATTGTAATTCCTCTCTCCTTTTTGTTTCGTCATTGTTATTGTTTTGTTTTTGTCGGTGTTTCTATTCCTTGTCTTATTATTATTATTATTATTTATCACTGTCATTATCCTAAATTGCATTATTAATAATTCTTATTATTATTATTCTAATTATTGATATTATTATTATTATTACTAGTATTATCATTGTGAATTAATCAAGTTTTTTCTTCTTTAATGGCTTTCTATTTTGCCTCCCTCTCTAAGTTTCAACTTTCTTTATTTGCTAAAAATGTAAAAAAAGCAATCAATCATACCACTATATTATTGTTTTAGTTTCCATTGTTGCCCTTTTTTATTTTTTAAAAATTTGATCACATTACTTCAATAATTCTAGACTTCACATTGTCCTTTGTTTTTTATTCTTAAATTGTATTTGATACCAAATGCAATGTGGCTGCTTAAATTTAATAATAATTTATTTGATATACAATAATTGTTAGTACAGTAAATGAGAAAAAGATTAAATGAAGAACAATAATGAAAACATACATTACATAACTGGGTTAGAGGATATAACAATTGGTTTAATGTAATTGTCTCTCTTTGAATATTTTACTACCATCAGATCCTTTATCTTGAGAAGACTTTGCTCAGCTTGACTGTCAATGCTGTCTCCTAGTAGACTTTTGATTACTGAAGTACAGGCTTTCAATAGCTTATGTCCGCCTGCAGCTGCAAACAGGATGTTACAGGATGCTTGAAATTCACAATTGGATCTCTCTTGTACAATGTGACACTTTGAACATTTACAGTACTTGTGTTCAACTGAATCAAGTTTGCTTCCTCAACTAATGCAACCCCAATACAGATTACAATACTGCATCCCTATGATCCTGGCATCATTGATAATATCAGTATTATCCTCATCCTTGATCTCAAAATTCGGTGTTGTAATATCATCTTTATTTGTTGTTAGAGTGAATGAACTGTTCCGTCTTAGTGTCAGAGTTTTCTCATCCCTGAATATTCCAACAGACAAATTTGTAAAATCATATGAGGAGTATTCCTCAAGTTGATCCACATTTTTCTACCAACAGCATAGCTTGATGGTTCCTGTTTGATCTGCAAGCATGACTTCTTGTAAGCGTCCAGTTCTTACTACCCTAGCATGAGCTACATCTATAACTTTACATCCAAGATTGACCAACACACCATCTGCTGCATCCAATATTTCTGATATGTTTTTGTTTGTGGCTTTCTCTGGAACAGGAACTTCTATTGTCCTGGGGGAAGGCCCAAACTCAGTAGTAGGCCTCACAATGACCTCCAGAGCATCATCATAATTACTCTTCTTAACTTCGCAGTTGGTAAGATGGACTGGGATCTTAGCTGCACTAATGGTAGATAACTGTGCTCGACTTTTAGAGTTGAATCCAGCAATCCTGAAGGAGCTTCCTCCATCAGTCACTTTCCCATGATAGTACTCCCTTCCATTAGTGCTCTTCTTTATGGGAGACAAGAACTCCATTGCAGCATAAAACTCAGCATTACAGCCCTCTTCTTTGATATCAGAGAGGCTCTCAAAAGTCAGTCTTTTTCTTGAAATCGCTTTAAATTACCAACAGAGAATGAAAAACTTGAAACTATAGCACGAAGTGAGCAATCTATCCCCTTTTATACTATGTTTTGCATAGAGTATAAATATAGTAACAAATGATGTATTCATTACATCTGCTGAGTTTCTTCAAGTCTGCATAACCTAAAAATTGTCATCATAACTGCTGAGTGGATTTAAAGCTTGCAGAATCTCATTATGATGATGTAATACAATTCAGCAATTTTATGTATACACTTGGCATCTTACCTTGCCACTCAACTAAAGTTAGTAACGGTTACATAATTATATCGTTTAAATGAACAATTGAAGAATATAAAAGAATTTTCAGATCAAATGCAACATGCATTATCTAAAGACTGAAACTATCAAAAAGTATGGCTACTTCAGGAGACAGCTCTGAAAAGATAACTGATGAAATGTTGACAGATGGATACATTTTGACAGTAAAATTGATAAAGTGTTAAACAATTATTATCAATCATTTCAGTGTCAATATGATGACTGTTCAATAAAGGCAACAAAACAGACTTCAAGACATAATGTTAAATTATGCTGGTATCATGTTGCTGCAATACACGTGAGTTATGTTACTAAAATTGCAATGATAGAATACATTAAATTTTATAGAAAAAAGGACGTGAATCTATTCTTATTAAAGGGACAAAATGTCCTATCAAGGATTGCAAGAATGAGAAGAAGGAAGAACATATATTATGTCACATGCATGCAAGAATGCTTAAAATAATTGACTCAACCAAAAGGAAACACAATAAAGAAAGTAAGGTATACTAAAATATATTAATAGCAATAATTCACAATTTTTTTAGAAATTAGTAGTAAACATAAAGACTGTAAAAACTCTTGTAAACAAAACATAACTTGAAGAACATTAATTTTGTGCATGAATTTGTTAATGTTATTTTTCTTTAATTACAAATATGAATTATTAAGATGAAAAATCATTATGCTGCAATATTTTGATCTTCAATTTAGTTATTAAATACTATATTCTTCAGCATTATGTACTTCACAAGTAATCTATATCCAAAATCAAGAGGGCACGAGACAGAAGACCATGAAAATTAATATTATCTATAAGAAAGTTAGCGGTAATCGTATAGTTGATAACACATTTGACTCAACAATTTAATAAGACTTTAAATCAACTCAAGTTGATTAACATTTAACTATACTACCCCATGCACCCCTTATGAAAAATTTAAATTTAATTGTAATGGAATAAACATCATAAGTCATTATTATTAGATAATCAAAATATAATGTACACCAATCAATCTCTAACTCTTAAGTGAGCACCAGCAGAAAACTTTTCATTTACATATGCATGGTTAGTCCAAATAAATCCTATGCCCTCACCATATAATAAAATTTGATCATTAGCAGGAAAGGTGAGCCAAAAAAGACACAATAAAGAGAAACTAGGATTACCAAGAGCTCTTGCCACCATATTTATTTCTTAATTTTTCAGGGCTAAACTCAGCCCACTACTTTAAATTAGAACCTTCTTCATTCTCAAAACATAATGTAGGTTGTTTATCGGTAGTGTAGCATTAATTATTTTGTTTTCACAGGTGCAGAGACTTTTTTGAACCAATTTTCATTGTATTTAATTTTTGGTAAGTGTATTATATCATTATTAGAAGATCATAATTTTCATTGGTATTGATTAGTGTGTACCTTAATTACTGAATTCGGATTTATTTCATTTTTGAGCCATTCCTTTATTTCTTGTCCACTTTCACATTATGCATGTACACATGTTTGTTTAATTCATGTACAGTAAGATGGGCTATTTTCATCGGTGACTGCAGGTTTGTCCGTTTTAGAGAGTGTGTCCGCTTCTCGGACAATCCGCTGTCGGAGGTTTGACCGTATTTTCTCCACAAAATACAACATTTACAATTTACAGTGTATGTATAATGTACTGGTACACGTACATGTACATTTTTTTGTCACAAATCAGTGGAAATTAAATTGCATTCAGACAATGTTCAGACATTGTGTCTGAACAATGCTTAATTTGATTTTGCCATTTTTATGAAATAGTAGGACATGGTCTTCAACGCAATACTCATGCAGCTTCTTGTTCCAGTACAAGCATTTACATGTTATTATACTGTGTAGAAGTTTGAGCTGATTCCGATCAAATTTTAGACTTTTACAAATCTTTAATT